CCCCATAGAGCAGGAATATTTCCTTTTCTCCTTGTCCTTTGGTTTATATAGGAATACAAGCGTTTAGGACATTCTATGGATTCCTTAACAAGTTTTTCTTCGTACAATTTTCTAGACTTACGGAGGGTCGAGGCACAAGTGTTCCGAGCCTTTCGACACTGAGATTTTGACTCATCAGACCCCAGTAACCTAAATCTATCCCACGTTTTCCTTTTCTTGCGGAGAAGGATACGGACCTCCCTACTGAACCATGGTGGTGAGTTTTTCGGCCCCTTTGGTATAGTCCAAGGGATGTGAGGTGTGGTAACTTTTAAGTATGATTTTCGAAATGCGTCCCAGGCCGTTTCAATGGAGGACTCTGGGTCTATTGTCCAATCTATTAACGATGCTGAGTGCATGATGTCTGGTATGTTTGCTTTCCAGACGTTGGGTCTGGACTGGACTGACGCGTCCTCATGACTGGCAGTTATATGGAAGTCGAAAGTTAAAACTGCGTGGTCACATATTTATGTTAACCCTGTATTCTAATAGTCCTCTGATTAATGCTCACATGCATTATCGTAATGTTATATTGATTAGTCCTCATGACAAACTAGCTCAATCGATAATAAAAACTGGTTGTCTATATTAACTAATTAGCTTTGATGGTTTGTTAACAAGCTGTAATAGCATTTACATGCTTCAGCGACATAGTCTTGTTTAAACATCAAGCTCTAACAAATATGACCTGTAAATAGCGTAAATATACATTAACTAACAATGCAGCAAGGACTAAATAATAGTTACCTGGATCTAATATTCAGTGTTCCTTATCTTATTACCTCTTCCTGTTTTAAACTATGCACTATCATGTAATATCTTTTCTTCCGACCACTGCCTGCCTAATTTCAAAGTTTCGAGTTCCATTGCCAAACAACAAGGATGATACTTCTCCAAAAACATACGGTGAGTTCCAGCTATAAGTTTTCTGCAATCATAAGGTCATTTTTAGATGGTTCGTTCAATGACAACCACACAATTATCTGGGTTCATTCGATTGTTCTGATCCGAGCGAGTGGCAAAAACCTCAACAGCATCAAGCACCCTGGAATTAATTGCCATACTGCATGTTTTATTCTGGATACTTTTGGATCAATACTACTCACGAATGGCGTTACATATGTCGTCCACTGAATAATCTAATTTTCAAAAATAATCTAGGCGAGTTCAACTATTTTACTGGATGATTTGTTTTGTACTTAACATGTATATATTTTCCAGTTGCTTTTGCTACATATTTGTAAGTGTCCCTAGGCTAAATCCAGTAACTTCTTATGGAATAGTTATAACGCGTCATATTCCTGCCTAAAGTTTCATAAGCAGTCTGGTCGTGTTCATTATTTTTAAATTGTCATATATGTCAACAACCTGCTTGTTAACCTGGCCCGTACATGCGTTGCACTATATCTTCGTGTCTTCCAAATTTAGAAATCATCTGAATCGCCATTAACATTTATCAATAAACCCATCGTAGCTGTTCTTACTAATCGTATTTGGGTTTATGGATTGGTTTATCATATTAGCAGCCTAAAATGCGAACATAGTTTAGATAATAAGATTAAAAATTTAGGTACTATCAACTGCACTAGTAAAATAACTAAATCCTCAGGTAGTTGTTGGCTAAACAAACGTTTAAAATCAAAACTCCGTAGCCTACTAGGATTAACACTAAACGAATATTTCTGAATTAAAATTTATAATTAAATTAGGCGTCTCGGATTCTTTAACGTTATAAATTTCTGATAATTTTGAATCGCCTAAAGCAACAATACCTATTTTTCCACTGACTAATCCTCAATCAACACTATAACTAGTTAAACGTAATAGTTTCAGAATATCGTCATAAAGCATTGTCATGACTTGACAATCACGTAATATGACTGATAAAATTAATGAAACTATTAACGAAATCGGTCAACAAATTGACTTATAATTATCACTAGTGTTGTTTTTCTTTTATCTTCATTCACTACAGATGATTACATTATGTTTTTCTATCGGTTGCTTATTCAGTAAATATCTCAAAACCTTGTCAGTCTAATTGGAGGTTTAGAGACACAATCATGCATGCAAATAACCAGTATAAGCAGTCGAGCAAATCTCCTGCAAACTGAAAACATCAATGTCGAATTTACCCCAACACTGACTAAGGTTCAAGCCATTATCATAGACATGAGTTGGGAGTGTACTCCCCCTGGTTACAACTTATGATCTCTCTGATAATCACATGAGCATCACTCACTGTTAATCATCTTGTAAAAACTTATTTAGCTAAATACATCTTGCAGCACCACATCACTTCGTAATATGACACAGGCCTAACTGATTTTAATAACTTATAACCACTATATCTCAATTAAATCGTATTTCGCCTTATGATAAACTGCATACTTGGAACTAACTTGTATGCCCAATCAGCCGGCAAGTATAAATATAAATAAATAGTCTGCCACAGATCAGAACATTGAGTCTAGAGCATGTCTCTTACGAATACACTCATGTTTAACGATTTGTTCCTAGCTATCTGTCCAAAATTCATATAATTATCACTCATGTATTTAAATTTTATTTTGATAACCATTCATGTGTATTAGTAGTATTACTAAATTCTATCACGGTCAAGTAAAAATGAGGTTGAGAAAATCTCCCCGTAACTAAATAAACCGTATCAAACTAACTGGAACACTAGTTGGAATTCTTCTCCACGGTATACTTTTGTTCCTTCAGTTAGCCTACTAATACAGATGCAATTGGAATTCAACTCATATGGACAACTTACCGGCATAATCGTTATTTGATTTCATAATTTAAACCAAAACTAATACCAATATTAACATTTCTACAATATTCATTATTTTAATATTTCTAAACACAAAATACTTACTACCTATACGTCAAGTTATTAACCAACGGCTATTAGCACGCATCGTTGTATTATTATTATTGTTATGCCATTCTTTATAGTTCAAACAATCTTCACCCAAATTCTCATTTCAAGCGTTTTAAGCATGAAGGCAGATATTTTAAAATTATTACATGTATTTCCCGACCAGATGCTGCCGCTTTCTTTTTGATTTATCTTTCAGCTTACCAATACCCGGAGGATTCTTATTATCCCTGGTAACCTCCGGCGCGCGACGATCCCATCCAATTTGGTATCGAACCAACATCACGTTGATTCTGGTGGGAGAGTAGTGTAGTGGCATTGGACGATAGCCACACAATCCACAAAGCTGTGAACACGAGACTACTCAGAAAATAGATATTCAATATTTAACTTGGGGAAATACCTAACAATGAAGAAGGCGCGGAGAATGAATTGAATGGACTGGGTTTGATCGGATGGCATGGCTCGTCCATCATGTATTGGTAATTGATACGATACAGTGAGTTGGTGTAGTCGATGGTGTGACTTCCACGTAAGATCTTATAGATTAGGCAGTTATATCATGACGAATCTACAAATTTAGGATTAGGTCTATTATTAGAGCAGTACTAATATCATAGTAGACTATAATTCGACAAATGTTCGCTTACTAGACAATTTCTACATCTCTAGTTTCTCCTTTTTATAACTGACTTCCGGATCTTACTTTACTCTGGAGACGTTGAACTTTTGAACCATAGAGTCGTGTAAGATAAGGCTGCCAACTTTCATCTTTTCCTTTTCTCTCGGGTTTCTGCCCGACCATGATAATCTTCACATGGAAAGAGAAACCTGATGCACAGTGGATAACTCAGATGGTTTGAAACTTTAAATACCAATGTTAAAACAGTCCTACTGTACAGACCTGAAACTTTAAGAACTACTGAAAGCATTATCAGATAGTATAGGTATTCAAAAGCCTAATTAAACTAGATACTTCAGATCCATTGACTAAAGAACATCAGCCATATTCTACTTTCGCGGAAAAGCGCTGGTGATAGAAGACAGTTTGAGGAAACCATCGAACTCCATAACAAGCCAAATCCCAGCGTGAGATTCTCAAGGCAGAGAGGAAAGTAAGCAGATTAACAGTACACGGAGAGCCGAAAATCGAAGGTAGACGTAAATATCGAGTTACCTCTTTAATGACTTTGTGGTGAATCCCAGTAAAAAGGTTATTCAAGATATAACTATACGGACAGTTACTAATGATGTACCGAAAAATCAATACTACAAACTGGTGTATGCTTTTGAGTGGATTTAGACGGTAACAAATAGTATTCAGAACAAAATGGTGTATCAAGTGGCAAGATAAAAACAATTGTTATGAATTGAATGTTATTTATAAGCTCCTGCTGAGATAACCACAGGTGAGTTCTCTTAATCAACGAAGGTTCATCTGCATATGGTGGCACCAACATGTTGATGAGAAAGATGATACTATCCACTGATAACCCACGCCGAAACTAACGTAATGAAGAATAGCCAAAGAGCATATTGTAACACTATTATAACCTTCAATCACAAGGCGTGGCTAATAAAGTCGAAGTGTAGCGTGGCGTCGAGTTGAGATTAACTGTGAACACCACTACCCAGAAACACGTGCCAGACAAATCAGAAGGCGAGGATCGATCGTAACCAGATTTATTTCGTTGGCGATCTCGTGGTATTGAACGAATACCGAGATCGTGCCAAGGAATGGTACAAGTGGAAGCAGAAGACAGGAGTACGTGCGAACAGTACCAAAAACTGCGGAACAATAATGGAAGGTAATGGAAGCACAAAATGGCTATAATTAGCACAGTTAAACAAAAGCACATTAAAACAAACACTGGCACAGTTGGTTATAATAATAATTGTTTTTATTAAACCAGTCGTGTTCTCGTGATAAACGTGAGTCACTACAGAAGAATGGCCGACAGAGATAGTGCTTTATTTTGATAACAGCAGTGGCTTGTGTATGTATAAGTACTACCACAACTTTATGCCCATTTGTAACGATGTGCAAACCAGTTGAAGGTTACTGTTGAAGGGTACTTTGCGCGCTGTGCATGAACTGTAGTCCCATTATGAGTTCAGATGACAAAAAAGAAACGGAAACATCCAACGAATGTGATGAGGGCTTTCTACCTGATGCGAATCCTACTTTGGAATCTCCGCGATTCTCTATAGCCATGAAAATGAATCGTCATGATAAGGATAAAGACACATTGCTACCTCGTAAGTCACTTCTGTTAAAGCCCTCAAAATCATGAGGGCAACTTTCGAAAGTTAGTCAGTTTACATGTTCCCAAGAAAGTTTTCGGTCAGCTTTTTGTAGTTATCATCACCACGAGCCATCTCTACTTTTTGACTGGTTGCATTTGTTTGTAGCCATGGCTGTCTGAGAAATTTCGAGAGGTTCAGTGACTGGTTACTTCACTGAATTAATACGAAATACCCGGTTTTTGCCAAATTGGACGGCTTGTGGTGCGGACGAGGCATCTTTCTACGTATTGAGTGAAATAGGGAGAGATTGGGTTGTTATTCTGTCTAAAATAGACTCGTTGTAAAGTAATAGAGTCGATCAAATCACAACTGAACACCCTCATAGAAGTTACTGTATTCAGGTCTTATCCAGCCTCATAGATTTCCCTAACTGTAAACAGTGAAATAACCGTAACCCTTGATTTAGGATCCAAAGTTATACAGTTCAAAACCAAACCCAGTATCTAACGTGCATTCGTTCGTTGTATTCCTTGAAATATCAGGGTTTAACATTTTCTTTTCGTCCCTAGATCTCATTCATTTTCCAACATGATATTGTCTAATTCTTCTCCATCACATGTCTTTGTTAATGACTAACTACCATCATTAGGCTTTGTAACTTTTTAGTTATAACAATGTGGTGAACTAAGAGTTGCAACTGTAGCAGGTATTTGTTAACCCGATAAAATAAACGCTGATTTTGTGTCCCACCATGTCCATATGTGCTCAAACTTGTAAAGTACGAACTAGTCCCCCAATATTAGCAGCAAATATAGCCATAAGCTCTTTTTGATCATGTAAAACAATGTAATATCATTTGATTAACTCAAAACTCAATCGACAGGTAGTTTCTTTAATTTTAATTTCGTTAGGCATATTTCGTATAGTTGTACAGTAGAAGCTAGTATTTTTAGTTTTTCAGTCCAAATTAATTCATGAAGTCACCGTCTAAGCTGTATGTAAAACTGAATACTTTCTTGGTAGAGTTCGTCACGTAACCAGAATTGAAGATCGAAGACTGCAATATATCTCATTAGTGGAACAAGTACGATCAGTTTCAAACTCGTTGTATAATTTCTTTCGTAAACTGCATTATTCAATCTAACCTCTCCAAAGTCATCCAAAGACGAATCTTTGTCATTTTTCATAAACCTCAATAACCAACTATTAAAATCTATCTATTGAAGATAAACATTTGTTTTATAATTCAAGAAAAAATCAATTAGTTCAATTATGTGTGACTTTGAAGTGAAGTACGTTTCCGACTTTCAAGTCATGTTTTTAATTTATGTTTAGAGAAGAGTGATAGGCATATTTCATTAAATAGTTAAAGTGCTACATATAATCCACTTAAGTATCTGCTTGAAATTACTTATTACTTTTCTTGTTAGCTTCACCTCCAAAGTTTGTGTCAATGAATCAGCTTGCGGAAGCAGCTAAAGCATTCTATAATATGTCTTTAGCACATGAAATAACTGTGGATTCTGAGTTTAGACTGGAAAAATATGAACCACAAGAAAAAAGGTATGTGTTATGATTGATTATTGAGAGTTGTTTCATTTCAAAGATAATCTTCTCGAAAGTTGGTAATTAAGCAACTATTGATGATCAATGGTTAATAAAGAGTTGTTGCTGTCTTTTTTTAGACTCAAGTAGTACGTACACTTTAATCTTCTCAAGATTAAGCTTAAAATATAGAGGGAATGCTTCAGATAGACCAACTCTTGTATAATTAAATTCTTGTTCAATAGTTAGAAGCTTCAGTATATAGCAACTCTTATTATTTTACGACTCGCTTCTCAGTATTTTTTGTTGTTGCAAAAGTGTTGTATGGTACCCAACTATAGAATGAGGAGAAACAGTGTGCGATCTCAAATGATCTTTAGCATATAAACAGTATATTTAAGTTTGATTTTTTCATTCGACTCTTTGTTCAAGAACTTTATCAAGCCTAATCCAAATTCCACATAACAGAAGAATTTTTAAACTACCTAGATCCTGTTTCAACCATCTGACCACATTAATCCATTGTACTATAGAGCACATCAATGTATTGTGAGTTTTTGAATCTTCTGTTTTTGTGACCAATGTAATATATGGTTAATTCACTTCAGGCTCATCTATTTAACTGTTAATCAAACTTTACAAATACTAGTACTAGTGACCGACTGACCAAACCAGATCAGTCGAAGCGATCCTCAAACCAATGATCCAATTATTGTATGTTAAATATTTTCAATACCTGCCCATTACTTTACTTGGTTAATTTAATGTTTTAACTTCTGGACACAACAAAAATAGTGCACCACTTCAACCTGGTCTATTGATTTAAAATGTAACAGTAGAGTAATCTAAAAGAGAATAACAAAGAAATTAGAAACTCAGTTCATCTAGAATGAATACGTAAAAAAACGTGTTCAAGTTCTAGACATTTTTCTCTGTATAGTTGAAGACAGAGTTGTTTAAAAAAAGTATTCACCAGAAACTAGTCGTTTATAGGCCTACGTAATAAATCGAACTTGTGCAGCTCTAGTCTCAGTAGTTTAACGTTTAATTTCAGAGGTTTGAGGTTTATTGTCACAACAACATTCTTACTTATCATGCTGATATTTTTAACATACAAGTACATTTCATAAATATTCCGAAAATGTTTCTTATTCTAAGTTCACGATTAATTAGTGTTATGTTATGCTTTCAACATTCTATAATATTACTATACTTGTTTTTATCAGTTTTTACAAATGTGCTTTTTGTTGTTGTTGTCAAGTTTGGAATATTGTATTAAAGAAACAATGCATAGAGCATTTTGGGATATTTTACGATCTAGTTTAGATTGTGATCCTCCAGACTATGAACCAGCTTTACGCTTACTGGAAGAAGTTAAACAGGTATGTGATTTATTTGGTTATCTACTTTCTAGTATTATTACAATTCAATATGTATTTCAACACCAATGATATTCAATGTTTTATTATAAAATTGCAGATTGAAATCATTCAACATATTATTTAGTTTCTATAGTCAAATGACATAGACAGACTTAATCCATTGTATTTTCGACTTAAAGTGTACTCATAAAATTGTTTTGACTAATAAACTGAGGAAGAAATTAAGATACTAATTGAGCTTGATTGTATCTTTCTTAAAGTGTTTAAATGTAATTCCCCATTTTAATAAACATAAACTATAAGTTGCTTTCACAGACGGACATAACATAAGTCCTCATATATATGTCTATCAATTCCTAGTTGCCACATCACAACGAAAGGAAATTAACAGGAGGTAAATTGGCGAAGTATAAGTTATACTACTGATAGTAGAGAGAAATGAAAGTACACAATCAAAAGTATGTTCAGAGTTGAGAAAAAATGAGAGGGTAAATTCATGTGCGCCATGTCTCAGTCATTTCAGTTCATAAAAGTTGGCAATCAGTTTACCACCCTTGCTATTCTGTGTCCAAAAATCTTTATTCAGTAATCAGCATACAACTAAATTAAATTAAAAATATCTTTGAAATAATCTTGATGATTGAAAGTCAAATAATCGCAACGTCTTATCCACAGGACCTGGTCCGAGTTTCCTTAGATTACTGCCCTGAGGCAGTTCGGACCAGTTTGCAAAACAAACGCTGTGGTTATTTCAAATTCAATCACTAAGATTATTTCAAATATAATTCTACTCACAATATCTTCTATAAGCCTTGCACCTAATTCCTTTCAAGCTGTTCTTTCCAACCAATGTTAGCCATCATATCTCGTAAGTAGGCTGATATATGATTAAGCTGACAACCCATCATAGGTGTCCTCGAAACATTGCTCGTATATCCTGGGACCACCGAGTAAGTAACACAGTTGTTAGGAAACGGGTACTAGTTAAGGATGGCAAATTAATTGATGAAGTAATGAAACTTCATCAGTTGAGATGGCTGGGACATGTGTTACGTTTGCCTAACCGCCGACTGCCCCGACGAGCGAGGATTTATGGTCTAGGAGTACGTTGGAAAAAAGGTAGGGGCGGCCAGATCAAAACATGTCACAAATCTATGAAGTCACTGACAAGTGGACTGAGCCATGTTGGTAGATGTAGACTATCTGGTTGGGATCCGCGAAACGATAGCAACCGATGATTAGAGACTTTGAATGACATGGCTCAAAACCGTTTGCAATGGCACAGGTGCACCCACTCTTTGTGTTCTCCCAATTTCTAATCTTCTGAGTTGTTCATATCCCTTTTCTCCTCTTTCCAAATTTATTTGATTGGATTATACTCCTTGAATAACATCTTCAAACCCTAATCTTTCTGATTACTGCCTATACTTTTACTACCTCTACCACCATGGGATTTGAATGGGCAACTGCATCTCTGTGATAACGTGGTGTGGCAACTCGAACTGAGGTACATACGTGTGAAGTTCTACGTTGATACTAACCGACTGTACTGGTAGACTGGAAGAAAACTATAGACAGACAAACCATAATATGGAGTCACTTCACGAAGTCATTGGCAATTTGACTGATCCATATAGGTGGGTGAAAACTGCTTCGTTAAAGTCTACCCAATCATCGTAACCGATGGTTAGATAATTTGGATGATATGTCTCAGAATCGTCTGCGGTGGCACATATCCTTTCATTCTTTGCCATTTCTTAAATCCTGGGTCCCGAAATTTTACCATAATTTCTACTGTTAGTGGTACTGTTACTAGTTCTAATACTCTTGAATTCTTTTTCCTATCCAAATTATTTAGTATTTTTTTATTACCTATTTTAGTCATTACAAAGTTTAGTTTTGCCTAATCAAACAACATTGAAAACACTTATTGAAAATCTTTTGGATATGGATATAGCTAAATCTCAATTAGAAGAAACTGGTTATTTAAGTTTAGAAATTTATAAAAATGAAGTAATTAATTTAATGAAACAATTCTGTGCTCCAATACGTGATCAAGAAGTTGAAGATTTAAGAAAAATCGATGATCCAATTGATGCATTCAAGTAAGCTTTATCATCATTATTATTAATATATCATTTAAATATTGGATAAAAACTATTTAGATCTAAATTATATTGACAATTGATCAATTATAACTGGATGAATATTAGAAAAGTTTAAACAGTTGGTGTTCTCTTCCGGATTATTATTCATATTTATATCTTTATTGTTGCATCTTCATGTTCCGCTTATTGTAAGCCCCCGAATTCCCTAGTACGGCCAAGGGTGGGGAGAGTTAGCTCTCCTTCTCAAAACGCTCTCACATGGCCACGCATATACAGCCACTGCCAGGGAAGTTCTACTCACTGCTTTCTCGCGGTTATGGTGTTGTCTATGAAATTGAGAGGATGAAAAGCGAGTGTCTGGCGTTTTAATCGGGTTGGTGGGTATGGAGGATCCACCTAGGGGAGTTGGAAAACTCTGATTCCATACCAATGGTGCACATGGGCTCCAGTATCCTGAGGGAACAGATGGTGTCTGAACCAATTATCGGTCACCGACTACCATGGGACTGCATCTTCTAACGTTGCTCCACTGCCTTGTGGATCAGACCTTTAGGTCGTAGGCTCCGGATGTGGGGCCCCGTAGGAAAACCACCTTCGCTCTGGGCACCCGGGAAGTATCAAAGCCCACACTCAAATCAAGTGACTTGTGTGGCGCATATCTATTTGGTGCCCCTTTGTACCAATATTTATGTGTTTAAATAGATAAAAAGTTTTTAATGAGCTTGTTGACAGCTGTTATATGTTGTATTATTGCTAATTAATTATGTACTGTTTTCTCCACCTTCTACCACTTATAGTACAATTGTGTTTTAAGTGTAATTTCATATTCGGTTCATTAGGGGTCAAGTATTACAAGTATATTATTATATGTGTGGTGGGCTATGTTTGAACTGGGTACAGTAGAGAACTAATCTGTTTCTTATCTACACCTTATGATTGGCCACTGGGTTCTTCTATACGAAAGTTTCACTGATTTAATATAAAGTCAAATGAATAAAAACGATATTTAAGTCCCCATACTTCAGTTTTGACGACCGGGAAGTATCATTAGCTCTCATAATTAGAGTTTAACGCATATGCAAGCATCTAGTGAATATATTAATTGACTTATTCCTTGTAGATCATCTCTGGTGGGATAAATAAAACAGATACTTTTAAGTTTCTGATTGAGGTCATGAACCGATTGATGTTAGACCATCACAATTGAAAACCTGGAAGCACTGGACGGCCGTTTCGTCCTATTGTGGGACTCCTCAGCAGTGCGCATCCACGACCCCGCGAGCGGCATTCGAACCCAGGGCCTTCGGTCTCGCGCGCGAACGCTTAACCAACTGGACCACTCAGCCGGCATCCAATGGTGACAGTTTCTGATGCCGGCTCAGTGGTCCAGTTGGTTAAGCGTTCGCGCGCGAGACCGAAGGCCCTGGGTTCGAATCCCGCTCGCGGGGTCGTGGATGCGCACTGCTGAGGAGTCCCACAATAGGACGAAACGGCCGTCCAGTGCTTCCAGGTTTTCAATTGTGGTGGTCTAACATCAATCGGTTCATGATCTCAATCAAAAACTTAATAATCTCCACAACCCCTATACTAGTAAAGATACTTTTAATATGCACCATCTGTTTTTTTTAAAAAATTTTATATAAATCATGTTTCTACTTCATGAACAGATTGCCACTTCTACTATTGACATCATTTAAGATTACTGTCCTGTTATCGCCTGATTACTACCAATCAGGTATAGATTCTTATTTTAGCTTTCTGATTTTTTTTTGAATGAACCGTTGGATATTTAACATCCTCAACAGTTTGAAGTGATCAATCTACGTTAAATGTACATTATCTTAAGTTTAATTGTATTAGTTCAATATATGATAGGAATTATTTTTAATTATAAAAAATAAATCTGGCGAGATTATAATTTATGGATGAACCAATCAGATTTGAAATAGTAGATGTTGGATTTTGGCGCGAAATTCATCTAGCTAATTAACATTTTGGCATTATAACTGATGTCAGTTCATGATGGAAACATTAAATATAATCCTTAAACCTAACGTCCAACTTTAAATTCTAAACATAATTTCTCACACTGATTTATTGGGCAGCCAAACCAAAACGTGGCATCAGTGCTTGAATCCACTAACTTCTAGTCTTAGGCATGTTGGTAGATGCAGACAACTTGGTTGGGGTCCGCGTGACCATCGTAACCAATGGTTGTAGACTCTTGGTGACATGGCTCAGAATTGATCACAATGCTGTACGTATATGCACTTTTTGTCTTCCATTAAACTATGAAATTAAAATCGCTTAATATCTTTCATTCTACGAACTAATTCTTTCTTTCTGTCCTATATCCTTATATGCAATTTGTTTTATATTACCACCATTGGCTTAACTACTGTGAATTTGGTGTTCATCTTGTTGTGTTGAAGAGGTATGGCAACTTGGACCGATGCATATATGTGCCTGGTCCTACGTTCTAGCTGACTGATTAACCTCAGTCTACTGGTACACCAGAAAAGATCGCCTATTGAGGTAGATGATAGTTGGATATGCGTAATGCATATCTCAACCACCTCATTTGATGAACATTCACTACGTCATTAACCGATTTACTATCCTTACCTAGTACCGTATGCCCAACGTCAGCATCTTTCAGTTGTCCCAAAAAAAAACACCTGCAATGGTTTGAACGCACGTATGATCTAATAATAGTAACCTACGAATGTCCTGTATTCTTACTGATCATATTTTGCAGCTATAAAGTAGAACAAGGCAATCTGTTGCACAGTAATCTCATCCTTTGGTTGATAGACGTATGTATATTACTACGTAACAACTGACACAAGTTAACCAGCTCCAATCAAGCTTTATCAATCTATACCAAAATTTTACCAAACACTAACAAATCAAGGCTAATGAAAATTTTGAATGAAGCTATCGACGCAATTAACTTCTTCACACCCCAATCTTAATTTAAGCGTTAATGCAAACTAATCTTAAAGCAACATTTCAAATTTGGATAGAAGGAATCACATCATAAACATCCTTCCATTTGTTTTTGTTATTTAAAATGGATCATATATTTTACACTCTGTTACCATCTTCACCAAACAAGACTATGTTATCTGCATAATTTAAATTAGAAATTAATTCACATGGTAGAAGATTACCCAATGAAATGTCAAAAGTGTTATTTCTAAAAAAAAAGGATTTTCTACAATGTCATTAATGAAGAGAAAGTCGACATGTTCCAAAGTTTATTTCCATTTATGTTTATGTTTATTTTCTCTTTTTTTTTGAAAATTAGAAATGTCTTTATTCTACTGGATAAAATGCATATGGATTTGGCTAATTTTACAATTAAACAAATGAGACCATATATTCGTCAACAGGCTGTTACTTATGAACGAACAAAATTTGCTACATTTTTAGAAGCTCAACAAAGTAAATGAAAATTATATATATTCACTTGGTATTGTTTGTTTGAATCTGCTCATTTGATGTTAAGGATTGCAATTGATCAGTCTCTCTTATTGGCACATCAGCCTTAATGGGTTGGTGTCTGATGAAATCTCAGTAGATATTCGAAAAGTTCGTTTGGCTTTTGCCAAATTACGTCACCTATGACGAAGGCGAGATATCCGTCTATCAATAAAAGGACGAGTATACTGCGTGGCAATCCGTTCTGTTTTAATTTACGGCAGCGAAACATGGCCATTAAGAGTTGAAGATACTCGTAAGCTACTAGTATTTGACCACACATGCCTTAGAAATATTGCTGGCGTCTGCTGGGATCACCGGGTAAGTAATGATGAGGTTAGACGCAGGGTATTAGGGAATGGTGGTAAATCAATTGATGAGGTTGTTAATCTTCATCGACTGAGATGGTTTGGCCACGTGTTACGTATGCCCGAACACCGATTACCACGACGTGCAATGCTAACCGGTGTAGGGGATGGTTGGAAGAAAGTTAGGGGTGGCCAAAGCAAAACGTGGCATCAGTGCTTGAAGTCACTAACCTCCAGTCTTAGCCATGTTGGTAGATGCAAACTACTTGGTTGGGGTCCGCGTGACTATCGTAACCAATTGTTGGAGACTCTTGGTGACATGGCTCAGAATCGGTCACAATGGCGTCGGTGTATACACTCTCTGTCTTCCTTCAAACTAAGAGATTAAAAGCGCTTCATATCTTTCTTTCTACAAACTAATTTTTTCTTCCTGTAATATATCCTTATTGCAATCTTTCTTTTATATATTACCACCTGTGAATCAACTACTTTTATGAATCCGGTGTCCATCTTGTTGTGTTAATGAGGTATGGCAACTTGGACCGATGCATATATGTGCCTGGTCCTACGTTGTAGCTGACTGACTCTTATTGGCATATGTGTGTACTGTACAGATTACCTCGATATTGTCTTAATTCACAAGCATTATAAGCAAAGATGAATATTGGTTACCAATAAAATCCAGAACGCGCGTCTCGTCAAGTGGCTATCAAAACTCAGTAGCTAAGTAGATAATGCGATGGCGTTTGAAGTGAACGGTACTGAGTTCGTGTCCCAGAGTGAACATTAACTTTGAGATGCAGGTACATCCAGTTGACGAGTCCGAAATAGGAAGAAATGCGTGTCAAACTGGATTCCACTGCTAGCCACTTTCCATCTTTGTATTATATATATATATATATATATATATATATATATTGGTTATGTAAGTATGATCATTTACTGTATTTTTTATCATTTGGTTTTGTTAAGAATTATGTAACTAATCAACTGTAAGGTGTTCACTAAGATACGAAAAGTACTTCCGAAAATTCATCCTTAATCTATTTATTAAGTATAGAATCTTGTCCTTGTCCTCAAGCAAACAATCTAAGTGTGTTTGCTTGTGGTAATTTACAATTAAGTGGAAAATAGATTTCTAAGCAATAACCTAATAATAAATTACGAATTAAGTGTCTTAAGTATTATTAAGCCACTATCTAACTTATTGGAATGTACGATATGGATGATCAGTTATAATTATTATTTAAGCCAAAAAAAACAGTCATCTCATCCTTTTGTAAAAATTTCACTCATAATAGTACAATGTGTTATGTGTAATTCAGACATTTAACCAATCAAAGCATTGAATCAAAGAATAATGTATCTTGGATATTCAATCTCTTGAATAAGAAATACATTTTCTCACTTCTACTAAAGTGTTTTCTAGTGTTTATAATCATCTAAGAATACATTTTAGCAATAATATTGTGGTGTCTAAACTCTAAACGTACCGTAAAATGTTACTTATAAACGATTTGTCTTCTCGTTGGTTACTGTCTCTCTCCCTCTCTCTCAGAGTTATGTAAATTATGTAATATACAGTGAGATCCACTCTTTTTTTTGTTACCACTTCTTGAATCAGAAGCCACCTTACAGATTTCATTCTTCCCTCTTTTCACATTCAAGTTTTTCTCAGAAATCCGTGTGATTCTCTTGATGTTTACTAATGATCAAACAGTTCCAATTTGGGAGTATTTTATACAGTAAATAAAATATAGGCGTTTTTTTCTTAAATTTTAGGCAATTTCAACTCTACTTAAATTCATAAATATCTGAATATCTCTTAAACGGGTCACTATACTTATATTTAACGGTGTAGGTTTGGTAATAAACATGGAAAAGTTGTACATACGTATATACCAAACAGTATATCTATTGTACATAGAATGTTTTACGGTGTGATATGGCTGTCTATGTTATCAGTATTATCCTAGTGTCACTGTAATACTTTAAATTCTAAGAATTTTCTATTGACGTCACGAACTGACCTAAGTTAGACAAGTATTTGGAACTCCGAAGCAGTGGGTGGTTGTTTCATCCCAGTATGGAACTCTTCAGCAGTACTCATCCATGACCTCACAGCTGGAAAACAAATCGAATACCTTCGACCCTACATGGTAGCACTGAACCTCTAGACCACTAAGCCAGTATCGGATGGTGTAAATGTCTAACTCCTATCAATCCATGATATTGAGCAATCATCTTTTTTCTTCAGTGGGTAACTTCCTCACACCCAACGCCGTTCAGTTTCACTGGTTAGGGTCTTTCAATAGAAATTTGGAGAACTCCTCTCAAAGCTAGCCACTGGTGAACACATGATGATTGATATTATTATAGCATCGTAATGATTGTTGGATTCTAGTGAAATCACGAATTATATTTTTGTTTTAGTCTTATAACTCGACCCTTCCTATCACTATTTCCAATTTCTTCGATTTTTTTTATTCTACTTAGAACTTGGTATTGATGGCTTAGCTCATACACGTGATTGGATTAAACAAGCACATGATAATCTTCTTCATGTATCACATCAACCAATTAATCATGAGTGCCCCAATGCATCCAGTAATATCAGCACTAATAATAAGAACACTCCAGTGGATCTTAAAAACACTTCAGATAGTTGTTCTACCACAATTAATGATACTATCCCATTGACACCGAATAATATACTACGTGAAGCCTACTTGAAGTTATTGACATGGCCACGTGATCGTGATTGGCCTGAGGTAAATTTTGAGTGTATGTGTGTTTTTCAACATTATCATACTTAATTTTCAGTAAATAACACAATTATCTTAGAATTGATTTCGTTTTAACTAAATACCAAAGGTCAATGGGTACATTACATATCATACCCTAAAAAATTTGTTTACAGAAAAATAACCCTTATCAGTTATTTGCTCCTAGGGCAAGTTCCTTTGTTGAGATTCTAAAAATACAGCAACATCTCAATTGAACTCTCTTTTAAGTCATATCCAGTTACACCTCGAACCACTGAGTTATACACCATCTCTACGGCTTCAACTAAGGAATCTTAATGGATCAACAGATGTCGGTCATAGACAGGTATTTTTTGAATCATGATCCCGTGCCATCAATTGAACTCTCCCACGTATTCCATTTAGTCTCAACGTAACAAAAATCATACGCGATGTGGAAAATGCTGTTATGACATTCATAACACAATTTCAAGCCCCTGAAAGTTTGTGTTCCAAGATGGTGATACTGATTGAATTATAACCACTGAACCCAAATACACATTGTCAAACCGTAGCGTTGTTAAGATAGCGTTACCACCAGATCCTAGCAATCCTTCGAAGACCACGATCAAGTGCAAGTATTTTCCGAACGTCTTCAGATCAGATGTATCGGAAATGCTCTCACCGATCTTTTGTAAACTCAAATTTTTACAATAGTGCCAAAAGCGATCCAGATCCCCGTAAGCCATTATGATTTCTATCATACATAAATTGATTTCATCTGTCACACCACTTGGATTCACACACTTTTCCAGATGTATTGAATTTCCGACTCCAGATTGCTGTTATTCTTACCAAATTACTTTGCATTTAGAAAGTGCAAAGTTTGTTTTGTACTTATGGACACTAGTTTGAATTGGTTGTGTATCATCACACAGTAAGATAATGTCGTCTTCATGTTAAATGTCGAAAAGTCTTTCCTGTTAATGGATCCATACTACCTACTTCCTTAAAAGCTGTTCCCAGAATGTCATCCATAGCAAAATTGAAGAGGCTTGGTGAAACTGGGACTCCATTGATGTAATAGGACAATGGAAGGAGATTGATGTATGTCTTCGCTCTGTCTGTACTTGTGTGCAGAGCCTCTTATATGTTAATAGATTTCTTATCAGTGACCTTATTTAACGGATAATCTTAAAGCAAAGCCGTGTTCAACAAATGGGAGGCGAAACTGGTACAATACAATACAACAGTTGTTGGCCTACAATAATTGTGGTGATGCTCTAACACTATGGAGAGTGGAAATCTAATAAATAAATCTACGACTTGAACTGAAACTGTCCTGCTCCTAGCAAGTTAGCTTCTTACGGCTTTTGTGCAACCTGTAAAGTCTGTTGGAAGCCAGTAGTTTGGAAACAGAAAGCAGACTTGTACAATGTTAGCTTTTTTCACAAACTGTATAGGCTCCTTTTGAAGATTGAACTGTCTAGTTAAGTGTATCACAAAGTATTATAAGTAGTTAAATATTACATACATTTATCGTTAAACTTCACTAATCTGATCAGAATATTATAAACTGTAAAATTTACAAGGTCACTTTCAAGTGAACTCTTCTTTATAGTTACTTAGATTAAACCATCTAATCAAATACAGTTTGTCTGAACATTTCCTAATTTACTGCTATTCAATTAGCAAATGTACAATTGAAACCCTACTAATCACTTTGTCATATATAATTTTCTATATTAAATTTCCATACTAATGGAATTACCTAAACAGTTCTACTGTACAAATCTCAGTCAGCTACAACGTAGGACCAGGCACATATGTACATCGGTTCAAGTTGTCGTATCTCATTAGGAAACGGGTACTAGGTAAGGATGGCAAATCAATTGATGAAGTAGTGAAACTTCATCAGTTGAGATGGCTGGGACACGTGTTACGTATGCTCAACCACCGACTGCTCCGACGTGCGATGTTCAATAGTGTACGAGTAGGTTGGAAGAAAGCTAGGGGTGGCCAGACCAAAACATGGCACAAATCCATGAAGTCACTGACAAGTGGACTGAGCCATTTTGGTAGGTGTAGACCACCTGGTTGGGGACCGCGAGATGATAGCAACCGATGGTTAGAGACCCTGAATGACATGGCTCAAAATCGTTTGCAATGGCGCAGGTGCACCCACTCTTTGTGTTCTCCCAAATTCTAATCTCCTGATTCTTCTTTGTCTCTTTTTTTCTCTTCCCAAATTTATTTCACTGGGTCATACTCTTTAAATAACATCTCCAAACCTTAATCTTCCAGATTACTGCTTATACTCTTACTCTTACCTCTACCACTGTGGGATTCGAATCGACCACTGCATCTCTGTGCTAATGTAGTATGGCAACTCGAACTGATGTACGTACGTGTGAAGTTCTACGTTGCTACTGACTGAGCGACTGAGCACAACAAGATGAACACTGGATTCATAGAAGTGGTTAATTCAATAGTGGTAATATATAAAAGGAAGATTGCATATAAAGATATAGTACAAATTGAATTACTTACCAACATATGAATTAAATTTTCTTTTTTTTTCAATCTTTCTATTGTTTTCCTTTTTCCTCCTCTACAAAGACAATGCTCATGGATCAATATCGTCTTATAGATTTAGGCAATCAATTAACTATTATTGTCAATTTAACATCTCTTGTTCTGGTTGTATGTAATTATATAGCATCGAATGTATCAACATTCACTACAACTGGATTATCTTCATTAACTGCAACAAAACCTATTTTATCAATTCCACTTGAAACTAGTTTACCACATGATGCAATGATACAATTGAAAAAATCTATTTGTCAAGATGTTGCACCAATATTACATGGAATCTCTTTAAATTAGTAAGTGTTAAATGTGATGTAAGGGTAGTTGATTGATTAGTTACCTAGTCAGATTAGTAGATGATAGTATGACAAATATTAGATGTGTTTTTTTTTCTACCCGTCATTAGTATATATTATTGTCAATTGTTGTCGTTGAAATATCCCTACGTTGTAGTCAGGTCATTCACGTACTCTTAATCACAGTTGTGTTAAATCCCTGGCAGGTTATCTAGTGTAGTGTTCTGATTGGTGTAAAGGAGAATTTCGAGCGTTATTTCAAAAATAAGATTTTCATTCTCCTTCATACCATTCATACAATAAACACTTGATGTTCTATCCATTTACTAATCACAACGCTAGGCTGATTTGAAGACAAAAAATAGGGAACAATTATGAACGGTTTGATTTCTGAAATTTTACAAGAATAATTTGAACAATGAAAACATTCATGGAAAAAGTGGAGGGAGATAAAAAGAGAGAGTAATTTGAGGATGATATGACTAACAACAACAAACAAACAAATAACACATAAATATTGGTACAAGAGGGCACCAAATATATATGCGCCACACCATATTTGTGTGTGTGTGTGTGGGCTGTGATACTGCCCGGGTGCCCAGACCGAAGCAGGTGGTTATCTTAAGGGGCCATACCCAGAGCCTTTGACCTAAAGGTCTGACCCACAAGGCAATGGAGCATCGTGAGGAGATGCCATTCCGTGGTAGCCGGTGACCAACCATTGGTTAATACGCCATTTGTTCCCACAGGATACTGGAGCCCATGTGCACCATTGGTTTAGAATCCGGTTAAAGCGCCGGACATTCGCTTTTCGTCCTCTCATTTTTGTAAACAACACCCTGCCACGAGAAGGCAATGAGTAGGACTTCCCTGGCAGAGGCTGTATACGCGTGGCCGTGTGAGAGCATTTCGAGAGGGAGGGTGAGCCCACTCCACTCTCGCCCATACCAGGGCATTTGGGGGCTTATATATTCTAAAGTTTTTATGATCTTAGTCAATATATTTAGTTATGTTGAACAAATCATACATACTTAATATTCTTTCGTATAGCATAATGACTTAGTGGTTATGATATTTGATTTTCATTCAACACTATATCACCGGTTCAAGCCTCATTCTACGTACTTCAGTTTCAGTATCCGATTTGTATCGGTAGTAGTCCCCTTACATTTATAGCATATTGAGTTAATGTGTTAACTAAAGCTAAACCACCATGGAAAACGTGGAAGCACTGGACAGCTATTTCATCCTAGTATGGTGGATCCACACTTCTGAGGAGTCTCACAATAAAACGAAACGACCGTCCATTGCTTCCAGGTTTCCCATGATGGTCTAACTTCAATTAACTCATGAATTCAATTATTAAATTACTACAATTTCCACAAAATCCCTCTCTATTTATAGCATAGCTTGAAACCAAGTATATGATAATGCAATTATATTTTACTTTATACTACTTAATTCCTTTCATTTGTACTTATAATGAATTTAGTAAACCTGATCAATTAGTTGATGATATAATTGAACAAGTTATATTGACCATTGAATTATGGTATAATCGATGCATACAATCTTGTAATTTAGTTACATCATCATCATCATCCTCGTCATCATCATCTAACTTATCAACATTAACTGAGCATAAATCATTATGTACAACTGCTTCTATGACAGATTATGGACGTAATGAATTAAGCTTACAATTGACTTCAGTTATTATCAGTGAACATCCTGTTTATAAACTTATGTGTAAGTATTATAAAATAACATTTTTCTTAATGTGTGTATATGCTAATTATTTCTACTTTTTTCCTCTATATACTACTTTTAATTCTTATTATTCTTTTCATTCTCTATTTCTTGAATCAGCTGATCATTATGTTTCACTTGTTATTAATTGAATGATCATTTTGTACATAGTTCTAGGTATTACCACTACTATCATTATTATCTACCGTTCTCATCTTTTACTACTACTACTACTACTACTACTACTACTACTACTACTACTACTACTACTACTACTAATAATAATAATAATAATAATAATAATAATAATAATAATAATAATAATAATAATAATAATCGTAACATAATCAATTAACTAGTTAAGTCATATGATAATAGGCAACTAACTGAGTGCACACACACACACACACTTATACATTAGAGTACATAAATATATTAAATTTCAACCATGGTAACAATAAAATGAATATTTTTCATCGTTGAATTCATGATTCAATTGAAGTTAGATCGCCATCGAAAATCTCTAAGCACTGGATAACCGTTTCATCCTAGTATGGGGCTCTTCAGGACAAAACGGCTGTTCAGTACTTACAGATTTTCCATAGTGGTTTTTAGCTTCAATTAACTCATGAATTTAACTATTGAATTACTATAATAATATCCACAAAACCCCACTTTAATTATAATAAAATGAATAATTGATCATTTTATTTGTGTTATCATCTTCAAATGAACTGTAGTCATTCCACTTTTTGTGTGTAAAAATTTACCATTGAATTTTGTGATCAATACTAGAAAGAAAAGTGGTGACTATCGATATTTAAATTTATAATTTATCATCGGAGTTCCTCTCTGTTTACAGTTATGATCAGGTTGATACATAAAAGAGCGTAATATTCAATGGACAGTGATATGAGATTAAATTGGTTTTTTTTAAAATAGAAATTCGTCATCGAAATTGTTAGGGAACCATATTATATAATGTATCAAGGAGCGATCCCAATGCCAATATAGAGTACTGATAATTATATATCATTAGGGAGAAGACGAAAATATAGCGATAATAATTAAACTTACTGTGATAGCTCTGTCATTATACTTAACTTTCTTAAGAACTAAACTGTGTATCCGTAGTAATTAACCTCTACGTTAAAATAACTGTATTGTATCTTATGATTTTCATGATACTTACCGTTTAGAAGCAATTATTACAACACTTGTGTGGTTTTTTTTTAATGATAAATAACTTTTGACTTTCAGATAAACGAGCTATGGATTTTCTTCGCTCTGCATTATCATCCTACCCTCCTGAACCATTACCTTTACCTCCAGGTTTTAGTGTTCTACTTGATCTTGATCAAGATAAACTCAGTTCTTCCACCAACGAAAATGGGACTACTGTTAATTCTGTTGGTTATTTACAAAAACCTCCATTAAACATCCCGACAACAATGATGTCAGGTGGTAGTAGTACCACTACTGGATTACTTTTTCGTTCTTCCCCTTCTAGTCCACATAAAGAATCAATGAATAGTTTTAAAACTTCTAAATTTGAAATATTAAGCTTATCCGATTTAGCAAGTCGTCTTCTACCATTATTAGCTCATAATCGTCATGTATTTGGTTCATATTATGCTGAAATTATTCAACCATTACTTATGCCGGAAATTCAAAAACTTTCTAATACTAATAACAAAAAATGATTTCATATATCATCTCCTTATATACATATATATATATATAGTCATTTTTTTCGAATGTAGACAACAACAAGGACTATCCATTGTACATTTATAAAAACAAACCACTATTCGTATTATTATTAGCAACCGCAGCAGTAACATTAGTAATAGTTCGTTGGGGGTTGGGGGTCTTTTTTCTTACACTAACAATCAATTTTTCTATTCATTGTCCAATTGTTTCTTTCATCTCATAACTGTTCCCCTTTTTTTTGTCTATAGGAGAATAATAAATAGTATATTGATTACAATATCATTACTTATATGTTCTTCACTACTTTAGTGTTGTCGTTTTTTTTTTCTTTCTTTTTTTTTACTGTATCTGTATATGTAGACGTGATATCTATTTTTTTTTTCAAAATGTAAAAGCAGACATACATAAAAGTTGTTATCCATATGAACTTTACTTCACTTTTGTTGTTGTTGTTGTTTATTTCCACTGATAGATGATTACGTAAGTAGTAAGTATTCTAGTTGAATTAGTTACTTATTTCAAATGTTAGTTTATTGCATTTTATGTATCTTTTCTTTTCTTATCTTCTCTTTCTCTTCTTTTCTTTTTTTCTCAACTTTAGTTTTTTTTTCTTTTTGATATTCATGTTGTTGTTTCGTTTGTTTGTATATAATTCTCTAATATTTCATTTCAATGAAATGAATATCCATCAAAAATGATATTACTATGATGTAATAATACAAATAGATGGTTTAAAGGAAAAAATACCTTAGTGATTGTTTCCTTTTTATTTTTATTTTTCTGAATAACATCAATGTCACTTGTTTCTTTTATATTGGTTACCTATTAAAAAATCGATATTTTGTTCCTTTTTTTTTCTTTTGATTGGTTGTTAACTTTTAAAGAATTACCTTTCATTGTATGTTTTATTCAAGTCCATTTGTTGCATGTATATTTAGGTTTATTGACTGATCCTATCATATCTACACCGAAATGTAAATAAATAATAAAAGTTCGATTAAAGGTACAATATTATTGTACTAATTATCATGGTTACGTTGTGAACATGAAAACTGTTGATAATCGATTATTACTTTTAGTTTTAGAGAAAACATCATGCTTAAAGTTTTACCATAGAAACTTAAATATTGAGTAGATACTCTACAGTAATCAGTGCCAATTTGGATTGTTGAGTCAGCTTTCTGAGAACTGTAACAGAGCCTCCAGAGGCCCTAAAGGAATCAAAGAGTCCTAACCAATCAGAGCATGATGGGGCTTTCTAGAATATCAACATGGCGTGCTACTATTGGTCAGTAGCATAATATGTCTTTTAGTGGATTGGTCAAAATATGATGTTGATTTAACAAATATTAACATTTATAAATACCCATGTTTTTCTGTACAAAAATGAACCTTTGGAGTAAAGTGTTTTTCGCTTATTTTGAGCCTTTTCTCTCGAGTTCAGGTCGCTGCATAGTTCTAGCTTGCGGATTACTAGAATAGCTTATGAACCGAATAAAGTGTTCAAATTAACAAGACTTATCAAGAATCAATTCTATAATGTACATCATTGTATTGTTGACTATATCAGAAAAGAATACACTTAGTGTATCTGTTTTCGTAACAGATTCTAAAAGAATTTGTTTATAGATGTTGAGTTAACATAAATTATTCCCCTTTAAAAGATTTGATACAGTCTGTCTAATATATTCAAACAGTTCATGAAACGTATCAATTCACCATGTCGACAAAACTGTAAATACTGTATTAATAAAGTACAAATTATAGAAAGATGATGAATAGATGGTAATGAATTTATCTTAAGGATATTTGCAATCATAATATTGTTTAGTGCTTTAGTAACTGAATATTTTCTCGATTTTCATATCTTGATGGTAACCAGTTTTTTCATGACTACTGAAGACTAGAACGAAATTTAGACCTATGAATCCCTGTAATCTCTTCTGAGCGAGAAAAATGTATATAATGTAAATGCATTGAAATCTAGCCACAGAATTAAGCGAAGAACTTTACCGGTACTATTAACTAAATAGTATCACAATTCCCAGATACATATATGAACTAATACATTTTCATCATTTATACAACAGTCAGACAAGATAACCAATCATTAAAATACAACGGAACTCTTAGAGACTCAGTTTCTGTTTGGAATCTGTATAGAATTGATTGGTTGCTATAATGGAGCCGTATACTGCGAAAATAATAATTTTTGAAACTATCTGTTTATATTTTAGTTGTATAATTACTAAATACTTGGATGATTTTATATTTGTATTGCCCTATTTGTAAACTATTCGTGGTACATTAACTGTTTCTATATTATACATTCCCTAAGGTACTTATTATTCAGTTTTCCTTTGCTAATGGTGTAATCATATCTATATTGGAATTTCCTACTTATACTAGTGTGCGATTAGGCAATTAAATGAGTTTGGATTTATGAACTCAACTATACTGTTGAAGTTTGTCTACCTACTATGTTCTGTTGTGGCCGTCAGACAAATAAGATTGGGAAGCTACATCCTGTATCAGTAGGCGTAAGTATTGATCTTGGCCATTTTGTCACTGTCGTCGACTTGTTAGTCAAAAGAAGGGCATTTTGTTATTTGGTTAACAGAAGGCCTACACAACCGGTCTAGGCAACTTAGTCAACAACCGAACTAAATAACATAATTTCTCCTATTGAAAAAATAAATAACGACCTGATCACACGAGGCCTAATACGATGTAAAAATCTGTTTATTTTGCCGTTAAACATTGCTTTCACTCAAAATTAATAGTTCTTATCTGTAGTTCATTTATCAACTAGAGACTAACATACTCGGCTTCGATCTGAGTATTTTTTATGTTTGACAATCAATGATATTACCTGATCGATCAAATCTTTTTCCAATATGATTATTATCTCTTTTGATCTAATGTACACTTCACTAACATGATAGTAATTCCTGTACAATCAAATAGTATTGTAGTGAACAAGGACACGAATGCCCTGGTACGGCTGAGAGTGGGGAGAGTACGCTCTCCCTCTCCAAATGCTCTCACATGGCTATGCGTACATAGCCTCTGCCAGGGAAGTCCTACTCACTGCCTTCTCGCACCACGGGTGTTGTGTACAAAATTGAGAGGACGAAAAGCGAACGTCCGGCGCTTTAACCGGATTGGTGGGTATGGAGGATCCACCTAGGAGAGTTGGAAAACCCTGATTCCATACCAATGGTGCACATGGGCTGGCCCCAGTATCCTGAAGGAAAAAATGGCGATGAACTAATCGTTTGTCACCGGCTACCATGGGACTGCATCTGCTGACTTTGCCCCACTGCCTTGTGGATCAGATCTTCAGGTCGAAGGCTCTAGATGTGGCCCCCTTGGAAAACGACCTGCTTCGGTTTCGGCACCCGGGCAGTATCACAGCCCTCACACATATCAAATGAGATTTGTGTGGCGCATATCTATTTGGTATCTCCTTGTACCAATATCTATGTGTTAAATAAATAAATAAAATAACGATCGAATGTATTTGAACACGAAATAACAGAATATCTCAATAAAACCTGAGAACCGTACAGTAAATAGTTAGTCATTTGAAGGGATTTTTGTGGAGATTATAGTAATTCCAATAGTTGAAATCATGAGTCAATTGAAGCTTCCAGGTTTTCCATGGTGATCTAGCTTCAACTGACTCATGATTTCAACTATTGAAATAGTTAATTTGCAAAATATCAATCCATTATTTCAAAAAATTAACTGTTTCTTTTGCAAATATCATTCCATCGTCTGAGATTTCATTGTTCCTGCATTTTCATACCAATTACTTTCCATTCTCGATCTTCTACTCAAAAACATTCTATTCTTGACTATCGTTATATACTACTTATAAGAATATAAGTAGCTTACACCACAGTATTACTAAATTTGTTAGATCAGTGTAAGATAGATGAGTTCAAAATGTAACGGTAACATTTCTTTTAATTCAACTATTAGATATAAACAAGCTCAAGAATATAGAATTGTATCTGATCTTTTCGTGTGATTTGATATCAGTATAATGTTTTATCAGTCAGAAAACCATCTGTTTCATAGTGATACTATTTTCACAGACTAACTACACAACACTACATCAATGATTGAATGCAAAATTTTCTTCTTCTATCAAACAGCAAAGATTCCAATAAAATCTACAAGTTAATGAAATAGGAATGTATGGCAGCATTTATTCTTAGTTATTCTAAGCCAAAAGAGTATAAATCTGTTTTATTGAATAGAACTGAATAAATGTTTTTTTTGGTATTCATTGCTAGGACAACCGATTGAACAATATAGAAGTTTGTCACGTAGTATTAGATAATAATGGTAAACGGGTTGATAAGGTAGTTAATCTTCATTGACTGAGGTGGATTGGATATGTATTACATATGCTTAACCAATTTATACATCGACTCATGTTGTTTGAAGAGTGGTACTAAGTTGAAAGAAAGGAGCAGAAAATTCAACACTTGGCATCAACCTGTAAACTTATCGACTGTGGAACTCATCATATCAGTTAATGTAGACCACCGAATTTAGGTCCGCTGTATTATAGTAACCAATGGTTGGTGAGCTTAAACAAGATTGCTCAAGATAAATCGAGATGACGTAGTTTTATCCATTGATTGTCTTCTCGAAAACATTGAGTTTTAAAATTAGTTTGTAAATTTTGTTTCATATATTGAGAATTTCTTCTTGAATTGTATTATCGATGTATAATTTCTTCTATTACCATTGATATTGTTATTACTTTTACCATGAGATTTTTTTTGATAATTCCATCTCATTATGTTCATTCGATATGATAACTTAAACCGATTAACATATCTCCTAGATCCTGTATCTCTTGTGACCGACTGACTGACTTATTACTTACTTGCTTACGTTTGTTACCCCTCAGTGGAGCATAGGCCGCCTTCCAGCATTCGCCAACCCACTCTGTCCTGTGCCTTCCTTTCTAGTTCTATTCAATTGTTGTTCATTTTTTCTCATATCTTTCCATTTCTCTGTGTTATGTGCTGTTTGGTCTTCCTTTCCTACTTTGGCCTTGAGCATTCCAGGTGAGTGCTTGCCTAGTGATGCGGTTGGGTGCTTTCCTCAATGTGTGTCCTATCCACTTCCAGCGCTTCTTCCTGATTTCTTCCTTCGCTGGAATCTGGTTTGTTCTCTCCCACAATAGGTTGTTGTTGATAGTGTCTGTGTCTTGTCAACGAATCCGAAGTATTTTGCATAAACAACTGTTAATAAACACTTTTTGTCTTCTGGATAGTCACATTGAAACGCGAATAAACTGCTTATCTACAAAGTGTTATCTATTGATTTATTGAATTTGAATAGGTACTAGGTTGTTAAAAAAAATTAGGTTACTAAAAATTCCCAAGGATTATCTTTTCTTCTTCTCACTAATTATACTCACGTTCGAACTTTGTGTTTTTCTCTGTTGACATCTATACACCATGAATATATGTCTTTATATTACCATGTACACGAAGAAATACTGATCTTAATTTGATTCTTGAATATTACCGAGAAAATCACAAACTGTAATCATGAATCGATCAATTTTAGGACATCATTGAAAACCTGGAACCATTGGATGTCCATTTCTTCCTGGTATGAGACTCCTCAACAGTGCTTATCCACGATCACGCACACAGTATTCAGACTGAGGACTTTTTATCTTGCTCGTGAATGCTTCAACTCTAAACCAGTAAGCCGGCATCCAAACAACTGTCCAGTGCCCCTAAGTTTTCAATGATGGTATGACAATGATCGGTTCATGATCTCAATCAAAAAACCCTAATATTGGAATAAAATAACCGTTAAGCAGTATCTTGTTTTCACTAACTACTTTATTAATTTCAATTATCTTCAAATTAACAAAAATTATAATAGTTGGGATCATGAGTCAGTTGAAGTTAGACTATCATGAAAAACATGGAAACACTGTACGGTCGTTTCATCCTATTGTGGTACT